GGGCGGGTGAAAAAAAGCCGGTGGGTGCCGGCCCCTGGGGGGAACGGGGGGAGACCTGGGCTCTCCGGGAGCGGCTCCCCCTCACCATGGAGTGCTTCCAGTAGTGGACGACCTCCTCCATGTTCTCCAGCAGGCTGAGGATCAAAGGAGTCTGATCCTTAGAGCCCTGCAAATATGCGGATATTTGTTTTCTATCCATGGGCAACCACATCTGCAACATGTGGCTCCAGATATCCCCAGCTCATTTTTTCAGGCTTGGATGTGGATGCAGACTCAAATTTTGCACCTAGCCCCTGCAATGCCAATGCAGATATCCATGGCTCATTTTTGCATATGTGAATGGGGATACAAATTTTGTATCTGCACAGAACTCTACTGGTAGTCTCACCATGTGAGTATACAGTTCCTATTAACATTAATAGGAACAGAGTGCATGCAGGCTGAAGGAAGAATAATCTTTATGGTCTCTCCCTTTCATTGAGTTAAATAATGATTTTTTGACAGTGCCTGGCCCTAGAGCCTGTATCACTTGTTGGAGGCAGGGAAAGCTGGACCCTCTCTCCCCCTCCCCCATCACTTAGGGACGGCATGAGTGAACAGACGGGTAACATCCCAACTGCATAGAAAAAAAATAAATATTTGTCTTTCCACTGTCTCTCTGTGTAAGGATCCAACTTTGAGGAGCACCCACAGAACCTTACTGATTTTGGGAAGACTTAAATCCACAAGGTATGCAAAAACTAGAAGGCACAAGGTTAAGTAGAGTGGAGACAGTAAAAGAGCTGTACACATGTACTTCATTCAGAAGAGGTAAAAACGGGAGGAAACTGGGGAGAATGAGCCTTCATCTCAGCATCAAATGGCTAAAAGTAACAGCTGCTTTCTTCCCTTTCTGGAACAGCTCTCGTCAACTCCTGCTCACCTTCTATCTTGCAGTCTGTGAGTAAGTGGCTAGGTCTCATGGGCAGCGAGGTGGCCTAGTGGTTAAGTCCCGGTGCTAGCTAGGGGCCCGGGGTGTAGGACTTCTGGCCGCTTATCAAAGTCTGCTCCTTCAGTTTGGGGCATGGCCCCAAGAGTCCAATTTCCACCTCCTCAGTTGGGTTTTCCCTCTGCTTCTCCCCCTTTGCACCCGGGAGTGAGGGGTATTGGAGGCTTGCATCCTCCTGTGGCTGACTCAGCCCCCAGCCCTGGCTCAGCCCCACAGCACTGGACTCAGCAGCTGGAGTCCTTCGGGGGTCCCAGGTGGGTGGGAGGGTCACAAGAGAGGACGGGAAGGGAGGCGATTCCCCAGCTGGGCTCCAGGCGCAAGTCCCGATCCAGGGGTGGGCACACGCACACGTGCAGACATGAGTGTGGGTGTGCACAAGGAGTGTGAGCACACGGGTCTCCGGCCCTGCACAGAGCCCCATGCCCGTGCACCTGGCGGGTGCCTCTGGGTAGAGGCGTGCAGAAGCTGGGGGGCACAGCAACCAAGGTGGGGGGGAAGTAGGGGGTGG